ATATATATATTAATTCTCCTTGTTATATCACATTACCAATGATAATATAATTTTTTTTCTTTCCATTTTTTTTTCTAGAGATGAAATGTATATCAACTATTTTCTTTAATTATAATTAATGGGATTCAAATATTTTATGTCTCTATATATTTTATACAGAAAAATAATTATAACTTTATACAAACTAATTAAAAGAAATCGTTATACAATAAGTAAAATTTTGATACTTAAAAATGATAAGTAGTTTAGATTTTTTGATAAAATAAAAAAGGTAAAAAGACATGTATAAAAATAGAAATCGGTTACTTTAACATTTCAATCCAAGTTTTTAGGTAAAAGGGTTTAGGGTCTGTTTAGTGTTTAGCAAAAGGATTTGGATTCATACTTTAACATGTCAATCCAAGTTTTTAGTTGAATTGTAACATTTGGATGTGGACAGTTAATTAGATATGCATGTTACCATCAAAACATAAACAGATAACAAATGCTATTATGAATCGTATTTATTTCGAATTTGGCACTCAGTATTTTTCTTGCCTCTGTAGAGTGCTAGATAAAATAAGCTTAACTATTCCTTTCGTTGCTAATTTACCTTCTTCACTTAATTACTTTTTACCCTCAGGTCGTCATGGCAATCACTGATAGAGACAAATTCAATAAATTATATACAAAACCCCATCATCAATTCGACGTGTTCTCATCTCAAAGGAAACCAAACCACGGTAGGTTGGAACTTGGAACCATAGTTTCGGTGCAGTTTGCATGTACTATATCTTGGAAATAGTAATTATATTGGCGTAATGATAATAATAATAATATTTAAACAGGTGGGTGGACAGCATTATGTAGGCCTGTCGAATTGCATGGAGGAGAAATTGGATTCTTGCTCTTTGTCACGTTCGGATACGATTCTTGACCTAGAATTTACCCTTGGTAGGTCCACTTCTAGTTGCAAACAGTCAGCACGGAATCAAGAGAATTAACTCTTCCATCCCTCTCTAGGCCGGGTTGAATATATTCTAATCCTTTCCTTTGTCACTTAAAGCACTCCCCCAACAATATATGGAGGAAGAGAGCAGGAACTATGTATTCGTATCAATGATTTTTTATCCATGATATATATTATGAGTTTTGTCTAGCTAGAAAAGGAGATGAGGGAAGGGGATGAATCCTTGCTAGGAAACATTTGCTTCTGTCCAAAGAATTCAGAATAGCCTTTTATGTCATTTTCAGTGTAAGGTATATGAGTAGAAGAAATATAATGGCTATTTCAGACAATGGGCCATGTGTGAAAGTAGAGGACCCATATTGAACTGAGGAGTCAAGATTTGTGCAAGACTGTTATAACATCATGCACATTTGTATCTAAGAGACTAATTTTTATTTTTTTTTAAAAAAGTCATAAATTTATTTGACTATAGAAATATCAAGTTATTTTACTTTCAAATGTTAATTAATAAAAATATATTTTATTATTTTAACTATTTTTTTACAACTTTAAAATCAAATAAAATGATATTTTTGATATTCATCATTTATAAAAATAAATGATCTTATATTCTACTTTTAATTCTAACTAGTTTCCTCCTTTCCTTTGAATATCTATCTATAACTCAAAGTTCAAAATTAAAAAATACTCTTAAATTAAATAGATCTACTTTGTTGTATCACTTATCAATATTGAATAACATTATAATAGACATTTAAGGCATCATAAATATATATTTAAAATAATAAAAACATTGATAAATATTTAAAATATAAAATTATATATATATATATATATATGTTTTATATAATCTTTGAACAAATGTAAAATAAATATATAAAAACAATAGTTATAGATTTTAAGTAAATAATAATAAAATAATACTATAATCTTAAGAAAAAATAAAAATATAATTGTAATAATATACTAGTCTAAAATCTAAAATGTTAAAAAATAATTTTATAAAAAGCAAAATAGACACAATAAAAATAACACATAATAAATCTTTTACTATAATAAGTAAATATTAAAAATTAAAATTACAAAAATGAAAATTTTAAAATATTTATTAAATATATAATATCTTTTAAATTGATGAAAAAATATATAATCAATTTTTAAAAAAATTAAAATACATCAACTTTATTTAATTATGTGTGAAAATTAAAATTTAAGAAATTTAAAATCTTATAAAAGTCAAATTATTTAGAATATAAAATTAATTATCTTCTAATAAAATTAAAAAAATAGTTTAATATATATTTAAAATAGAAAACATTTTTAATATAATAATAATAAACTTCTTAATATTATTAATATAAAAATACATATGCTAGTACTATAATCTTCAAATAAATGTAAAGGAAATAAATATAACATTGATAATGAATATAAATAGTATTAATGAAATATAAATATCAAAAGTAATAGTAAATTAATACTACAAATACAATCTTGAGAAAAATAAATTTAATGTTACTACAATAGTAATATAATAACAGTTTAAAACCTGAAATTTTAGAAAAATAATATTATAAAAAGAAATAAACATAATAAAATATGACACATAATAATAAAATATTATTATATGAAAAATAATATTTTAAAATGTATAAATTATAATTATTGCCATAAAAATTATATAGTGGCACAAATATCAAGCTTATTTTTTTTTAAAGTTAAAAAATAATATATGACTTCATTAAACTTTATCTATGTGATGTCAAAAATAAAAATACAAATAAAAGCCCAATCATTTGAGAGGCATAATCTATGATGAACCCTACTCTCAGGTGATTTACCATGAAGAAGTTCATAAATATGTTTTATAAATGTAGTTCACCTGTGAGTCAATCACTTTAAATCATAAAATATATTTATAAAAAAAATTAAACAGTTTAGATTTATATAGTGATAAATTTTACTATTGTATTAGTTTTATTTTCTTATGGTAAATATCCATTATGTAAAAAAAAATTTGATTGTCCCTTCCATCTTTTGCAGATAGGATAGCACCACGACGCATCGCCATCATAAACTCTATACTCAGATTCGACAGTACTCCTAATCGTGTTTCTACCGTCGAAGTCGCCACTAGCACCGTTGCCACAAGATTCATTGGCATCGCCACCACCACCACTCGATTTTAATTCGACACTTCCAATGACTCCACAATAGAAAGAGACAACAACAATGAAGTCGTAGGTCCATTTTTGGATGACAATACATCATTTCCAATTTTCATAGTAGGCCGAACCAACATAGGTTGAAAAACATACGAAGGAGAGACCACATTAGGAGCGTTGGACTCACTCACATTAGATTTGAGGAACTTTCTAGAGAAACTAACATCATTACACACCGCCTTATATTTTATTTTTATTTGGGCGTGGAGGACGGTGTTGCGGAGGGAAAGGAGGTCGTGGAGGAGGGGGGCATGGATGGCGTTGCGCGGAGGGAAGGTGCCGGTGGCGTGGGCGCAGGAGCATTGATAGGCGAAGAGCCAGAGGTCGAAGTTTGAGAGGAAGCTCTTAAAATGGCATACCAAACAAAACCTTGTTGGTGTTGAACAGGGATGAAATGTCATTCGACTTAAAATCATTATATGTTGCTGTAGCGGAGTCCAAACTCGTTTGACGATTGTATAGCAGGGCTGTTTCATGCTTAACTACCGACTCGTGTCATTATTTATAACTTATTTTCGGGAAACTTCTTCGAATCACTTTTATGATAGTAAAATAGAAATAAAAATAAAATAAGTCTTCTATAAATTAAAATTGCAGAAACTAATTTATTTAAGAATATTTTGAAAAAATAATATAATAGAGATGTATTATTAATGTAAAGAAATATATATATCATGAGCGTTTATTTATTTAGCCTTGATATTTATAATCTTTCCTATGAATTCTTGTTATGTCTTTGTAATATTTTTTATAGATAAAAAAATTATTTATTTATTTTATTTACTTTGTTTTTTTAAATCGATGCTTCCACGAATATAAATCCTGACAGCCTATATAAATATTTATTTATTTATTTTTGTTAATATTGATTTTTACACAAATTTAACTCCTGGCTGTATGATCCAACATTTTTTTTGGGGACGTATAAGGCTCAATATTCTAAAGCTCGTATATATACACCTTCTACGTTAATATTACACTTTTATTATACTACTTTTTTCAAAATATTTTCGATATTTTTTTATTTTTTTATTTTTTTATTTTTTGACTTTACAAATCTTTCTTTCTCTTACCTTCACCGGTCAATTTTTTTTCCAAACATGCACTTCCTTCTTGTTCACTTGCCTTTAACATTCAAATTTTTTGTTTCACACACTCACTCCTTTTACACACATCTTTTCCTTCATTCTTTCAAGATTTCAAATGATCAATTTTAAAGATTAATTTTATAAATAAATAATTGACTCGATATATATACCTTATTTTCCTTCATTCTCATTTATGATTGTTGTAATATTATTTGTACTTTGAATCAGATATTAAAATTTAAATTTAGTATCTTTCTTTTTTTTTCTATTTTTTATTTATTTCAAATATTCATTTTTTAATTATTCAACCTTATGACCCAACTTAACTCGATCTGATTGTAACTAGGTTGGATTTGATTGGGTCGCTTTAAAAAAAAAGGTTCACAAAATCAACCCAATTCAACATGATTAAGTTTATTTGGGTTGAGTTAAAAAATAGTTCAAACCTAATCTGATCCAACTTATATGCATTCCTAATGCTATCGTGACATACTTTTTAGGAAATTATTGTGTCATCGTGATAAGTGTATGGAATATGTAATTCTATTTTATATTTCCATTTCTTTTGGCGCAAGTTTTGTTTAGGGGTACCAAAACCCTCTGTGACTAGGACCACATAAACCATGACATGTGTTAATTTTGTCAAAACTTTTATTTTTTAAGAATTTTTTAATATTTGTTATTTAACCCTCCAACATCGACCTCGGCATAACAAGGTTCGAAATCGACCTTGGTTAATAAAATGAGATCTCAAGGTTTGGACTCGACCTTGATTAAGAAAATGTGATCTCGAGGTTCGGACTCGACCTCGGCATAACAAGGTTCGAACTTGACCTTGATTAATAAAATGAGATCTCAAGATTCGGACTCGACCTTGGAATAACAAGGTTCGAACTCGACCTTGGTTAATAAAATGAGATCTCAAGGTTTGGACTCGACCTTGATTAAGAAAATGTGATCTCGAGGTTCGGCGTCGACCTCGGCATAACAAGGTTCGAACTTGACCTTGATTAATAAAATGAGATCTCAAGGTTTGGACTCGACCTTGATTAAGAAAATGTGATCTCGAGGTTCGGCGTCGACCTCGGCATAACAAGGTTCGAACTTGACCTTGATTAATAAAATGAGATCTCAAGGTTTGGACTCGACCTTGATTAAGAAAATGTGATCTCGAGGTTCGGCGTCGACCTCGGCATAACAAGGTTCGAACTTGACCTTGATTAATAAAATGAGATCTCAAGGTTTGGACTCGACCTTGATTAAGAAAATGTGATCTCGAGGTTCGGCGTCGACCTCGGCATAACAAGGTTCGAACTTGACCTTGATTAATAAAATGAGATCTCAAGGTTTGGACTCGACCTTGATTAAGAAAATGTGATCTCGAGGTTCGGCGTCGACCTCGGCATAACAAGGTTCGAACTTGACCTTGATTAATAAAATGAGATCTCAAGGTTTGGACTCGACCTTGATTAAGAAAATGTGATCTCGAGGTTCGGCGTCGACCTCGGCATAACAAGGTTCGAACTTGACCTTGATTAATAAAATGAGATCTCAAGGTTTGGACTCGACCTTGATTAAGAAAATGTGATCTCGAGGTTCGGCGTCGACCTCGGCATAACAAGGTTCGAACTTGACCTTGATTAATAAAATGAGATCTCAAGGTTTGGACTCGACCTTGATTAAGAAAATGTGATCTCGAGGTTCGGCGTCGACCTCGGCATAACAAGGTTCGAACTTGACCTTGATTAATAAAATGAGATCTCAAGGTTTGGACTCGACCTTGATTAAGAAAATGTGATCTCGAGGTTCGGCGTCGACCTCGGCATAACAAGGTTCGAACTTGACCTTGATTAATAAAATGAGATCTCAAGGTTTGGACTCGACCTTGATTAAGAAAATGTGATCTCGAGGTTCGGCGTCGACCTCGGCATAACAAGGTTCGAACTTGACCTTGATTAATAAAATGAGATCTCAAGGTTTGGACTCGACCTTGATTAAGAAAATGTGATCTCGAGGTTCGGACTCGGCCTCGGCAAGTCGTCACGACTAATGTGCCAATACAAAAAATGTATGGGAATAGAGTTGTTTTGTTGATTATTTTTGAGGTGTGCCTCGTTGAAACCTTCCTTGGCCAAAAATCCTTTTCCTTAGTGGGAAAAAGGTTGAGGAGGAAAAAGAGTACGTCACCTGAATTTACAAGTTAAGAGAAATAAAATTTGAGGTGGGTGACATTCCAAGTTCCGAATTTCCTTTCGGAGGGGTCTATTCTTGCTTCTCTCACCCCACCAAACAAGGTCGCCAACTTTAAATATTTGTGGCCTAACTTTGGTTTTGCTTTCCTTGTGATTTGTTGCGAACCTGGTCAGGAAAAGTAGAGTGCTCTTCCATCTGTATGTACCCGACAGCTCAGGCACGAACCAAGGAAACGAGTTACCTAATTTGAAGGAAAAGTTATTTGTCTGCACCGACAAATAATTTATCCCCTCCACACCAAGGAAAGAGAAAGCTCAAAAGCCACACAATTATGTGCACCTAAAGTGTTCGAAACAAAATGGAGGTCCAAATAAAAGTATTATTTATGAATCACTTTTGTAGGACTGTCCTAGTTATTCATTTATTTATTTTTGATAACAGCAGTCCTTGTTATCCTTGCAAGTTGCAACTATATGACTGGTTATGAAAAAATGCATGGTAGAGAGGAAAAGCGACACCTGCCTAAAAACGAAGAAGACAATGATACATGTCAGTGCTTGAGTGCCGTGGCCAGCTGAATTGCTTTATATCAAGAAGCCCGTCTATTATATAAATCAAGCATATACAACGTACAAGATCCTCCTATCCTACGCCATGGAACTGCATGATTCAAGAGGCTTATTTACCATTTTCTTCGGTCTCCTCTTATTTCTCTTTGTTGTTTCATCCTTAATTAGAGGCCAAAACTTTGAACTCATTCCCTTTGGCTCTGGTAGAAGGTCATGTCCTGGCATGTCGTTTGCACTCCAAGTTCTTCACTTGACACTTGCTCGTCTACTTCATGCATTTGATTTTGGAACTCCATCAGATCAACCGGTTGACATGACTGAGAGCCCAGGTTTAACCATTCCTAAGGCAACCCCATTGGAGGTTCTTCTCACTCCCCGTCTTCCACCCAAATTATATGCCTACTAAAACATATAAATGTTCTAATAAACCTTTTATAGTTTATTCTTGAAAATGGAATTGATGAAATTCCAGTCGTTTGATGTTAGGCCACGAGGCCGTTATAATGAAAAGTCAGTGTAATTTATGATATGATTATATTTACGACTTCTGTTTTGTTGTAGATGTATCTTAGTCAAACAAAATTATCTCTCAATAAGGTGATACTACCTCATCATTATCTCTCTCGCTCTCTCCTATTCCTAGAATCCTATAGTTTTACAGTTTCCTTAAGTTTAAAATGACAGTCAGAACGTGTAATCATGCATGTTTGTATTATTAGGAGAAATAATTGAATTCCCTTATTAATAAGACATTCATATATATGGTTGAAAAGAAAATGGAACCAAAAACTGAAAGTTGACAAAGGAAGCCATCAAAGCAGCCAGAGAATAGAGAGGTGGGGGCACACTCCGCAGAGAAATCCCACCACACAAATTTACCAAGGAAACGAGTTACCTAATTTGAAGGAAAAGTTATTTGTCTGCACCGACAAATAATTTATCCCCTCCACACCAAGGAAAGAGAAAGCTCAAAAGCCACACAATTATGTGCACCTAAAGTGTTCGAAACAAAATGGAGGTCCAAATAAAAGTATTATTTATGAATCACTTTTGTAGGACTGTCCTAGTTATTCATTTATTTATTTTTGATAACAGCAGTCCTTGTTATCCTTGCAAGTTGCAACTATATGACTGGTTATGAAAAAATGCATGGTAGAGAGGAAAAGCGACACCTGCCTAAAAACGAAGAAGACAATGATACATGTCAGTGCTTGAGTGCCGTGGCCAGCTGAATTGCTTTATATCAAGAAGCCCGTCTATTATATAAATCAAGCATATACAACGTACAAGATCCTCCTATCCTACGCCATGGAACTGCATGATTCAAGAGGCTTATTTACCATTTTCTTCGGTCTCCTCTTATTTCTCTTTGTTGTTTCATCCTTATGGAGGAGGCGCAGTGTGGAAAATAGAAAAGCACCACCAGAAGCAAGTGGCGCGTGGCCTTTCGTATAAGTAATGCACGTACCTTGGAGTGAATTAGGGTTATTTTGGGCTCTGAGCCTGAGATAAGATATGATAACGGATCTCGTCTGGGGCGAGATCTTCGGTAACCAGTGATTAGATAATGGATCTCGTATGGGAGAGATTCTCGGGAATCAGTTGTGATTCACTTGAATGTCGAGCTGACGTCGTATGACGCGTGCCCGAGATCATCTTGCACTGTGATGCCGAGCTGACGTCGTATGACGCGTGCCCGAGATCATCTTGCACTGTGATGCCGAGATTGGAGCTCGGCTTCGCAGTACGGTCAGTACACACACACACACACACACACACACACACACACATATATATATATATATATAATTATATATATACAGATCGTGGTGGCGCCACTATTCTCTGCCTTTGAGATATTGTCACCAACGACCTCTCACCCTCATCAACTATGATCAAATTTCTTGTGGCACCTCCTCCCACTGAGGTGTCAGCTTCACCAATGGTGCCGATCACTTCTCCCGCTCTTGGTAGCTAGACTCTGCCTTCTACACTATGCTGGAAGATTCCAACGAGGTATACCATATCCAATGCCAATGTTGAGCCTGATTAATGAAGGAGTACTAGTCGTCAATGACCAAGAAGGGGATGTTGGATTACAAAAATGAGCTTTTCAATAATATTTTCAAATAATTTAAATAAAAAAATAAATAAAGAGTTACTCTTCACTTGTTCACCAATGGACAATATGCTAAGCTTATTGATTGTAATAAGTGCCTATTTAGGATATCTACTTGGGTACACAATTAAACGATGTTATAAAGGATTTTCTCACTTGGCAAGTGGATTAAGTTTCGTGTAGTAATTTAAGATATCATCTTTAAGGATTTGAAGATATTATGTAATTTCCCTCCTAGTTCAATTTGTATAAACAACCATATGCAATTATATTGAGCAGGTTATGTAAATAAGATAAGTTGCAAATGAGATATTTAACAAAAACTTGATTTAAGAAGCGGTTCCTATATGTAAGAGAGAGATTGGGATTAAATGTACTTTCACAACACTTATGCTTTCCCATGAATCTTCTATATTCCCACATCCATATATGCACTTAAACTGATTCCTCAAGCTTGAATCTTTAAGGATTAAATCTTGAAACATGATTCCTCAATGATCAAGATTAAATCCTTGCATTAAGCATAGGAATGTAAATCGCTAACAATTCCAAGTCTATTCCTAGCATAAGTCATTGTTAGGTGAAATGATCTAAACTAAGCTTAGAAAAATATTTTCTAATAAGATTCAAAACTAAAAATTAAAAGACGGGTGATCAAATTGACTTAAGCATTAAGATCATAATCACAACACAAATCGTGTGTGTGTATGATTTAAAGGATTACACAAGTGTTGGTAGTTACATTCAAATCCAATCCAAGAGAAATTAGTCACTCATGATGAGTGCTCTAGCTGATACAAAGATGAAAAATATAAGAAGAAATAAGAAAAAAAATGGAGAGGGCAAAGACCCTTGTTCCCATAGGATATCAATCTTCCAATACCTCCTTTAAAACTCCTTTCTTTTTCTTGAATTTTCTCTCTCTTTCTCTCTCTCTCTCTCTCTCTCTCTCTCTCTCTCTCTCTCTCTCTCTCTCTCTCTCTCTCTCTCTCTCTCTCTCTCTTTCTCTCTTTCTTTATTTCATGTTCCCCCTCGTCCTCTATTTCTCTCCCTTTTTTGTTATTTATATGATCTTTAAAAGCAAGGAAAAACTAAAAACTTTAACTTAACTACTGTAGGCATCGATCACTGTTGTAGCAGTGAGGAGTCTTTCAAAGTGAAGAAAGCTCTTACAACTTGGAGGTTGGTTGAGCATTGCAGTGCTGAGATCCCTTGTTCTTAACATCTTTCAAATTTTCACTACTATATATGATTGTAGACCAGCGCTATAGTGTTGATTCTCTAACTTGTTCTTTCTTTCTCCGTCCTTCACAACTATAGCCATGAGTGAGTACCATGATGTTGGATCTTTGACTTTGTAGCATTTCCTACACAAAGGAGAGAAAATTTAATTAAAAATTCACCACACACTATTTAACATTTTTCTTTGAATTACTAATAAAATTAAAGCATAATTGTAGTTAAATATACACAATAACTTTAGAAAGTGTTAAATATAAAAGACATTTCCTTTGGTGCAAGTTTTGTTTAGGGGTACCCAAACCCTCTGTGACTAGGACCACATAAACGATGACATGTGTTAATTTTGTCAAAACTTTTATTTTTTAATAATTTTTAATATTTGTTATTTAACCCTCATTAATTTATAACATTTTAAATAATAACTCTCAGCCTATTTAAATATGTTTTATCTTTTTCATCTTCTTACCCGTTTCATTTTCATTTTTCCTCTTTCTGCTCACCTCCCATCCGGTGCTCTAAAACCTACTCTCCCTACCAAAAGCTCCATCAAAGACGGTAACTTCACTGAGCAGATTTTATCAGCCCTAGAATTTTCTTATCCCTAGTACCCTTTTCGAGGGAATTCATTACAACGTTTGGATCCACGCGGTCCAAAATCTCGCTCAAATCCCCTTTGAGGAACCACAAGTAACCGGCGAAGTTGCTCCGGATGGTGCGAATAACAATGTGGGCGTTTCGACCCGGTCGAAACGCGTGCGATTTGGGGGAGAAGCATGGTTTGAAGACGGGTTCGAGGATCATTAAGAGAACCTCCTGAACGATGCAATCTTGGAAGCAGGGCTCGTTGGATTGGAGAATGTTTTGGAGTTTGCGTTTGGAGAGGGGCTTGGAAATGGCGGTGTCGTTGGGGGCGCGGAGGAGAGGGTTTTTTTGTCGTTCCAAATGAAACGGGCGTGGAGGACGGTGTTGCGGAGGGAAAGGAGGTCGTGGAGGAGGGGGGCATGGATGGCGTTGCGCGGAGGGAAGGTGCCGGTGGCGTGGGCGCAGGAGCATTGATAGGCGAAGAGCCAGAGGTCGAAGTTTGAGAGGAAGCCGGTGAGGTTGGGGAAGGAGATGGTTTTGGGGGAGGAGAAGGTCTTGACCCAGAGAGAGCTGCATATTTGGATTGGGTCTTGTTTCATTAGGGTGCGAGGGTCTTGTTTCGTTAGGGTGCGAGGGTCTTGCTCTTGCTGTTGGAGGGTTAAATAACAAATATTAAAAAATTCTTAAAAAATAAAAGTTTTGACAAAATTAACACATGTCATGGTTTATGTGGTCCTAGTCACAGAGGGTTTTGGTACCCCTAAACAAAACTTGCGCCAAAAGAAATGGAAATATAAAATAGAATTACATATTCCATACACTTATCACGATGACACAATAATTTCCTAAAAAGTATGTCACGATAGCATTAGGAATGCATATAAGTTGGATCAGATTAGGTTTGAACTATTTTTTAACTCAACCCAAATAAACTTAATCATGTTGAATTGGGTTGATTTTGTGAACCTTTTTTTTTAAAGCGACCCAATCAAATCCAACCTAGTTACAATCAGATCGAGTTAAGTTGGGTCATAAGGTTGAATAATTAAAAAATGAATATTTGAAATAAATAAAAAATAGAAAAAAAAAGAAAGATACTAAATTTAAATTTTAATATCTGATTCAAAGTACAAATAATATTACAACAATCATAAATGAGAATGAAGGAAAATAAGGTATATATATCGAGTCAATTATTTATTTATAAAATTAATCTTTAAAATTGATCATTTGAAATCTTGAAAGAATGAAGGAAAAGATGTGTGTAAAAGGAGTGAGTGTGTGAAACAAAAAATTTGAATGTTAAAGGCAAGTGAACAAGAAGGAAGTGCATGTTTGGAAAAAAAATTGACCGGTGAAGGTAAGAGAAAGAAAGATTTGTAAAGTCAAAAAATAAAAAAATAAAAAAATAAAAAAATATCGAAAATATTTTGAAAAAAGTAGTATAATAAAAGTGTAATATTAACGTAGAAGGTGTATATATACGAGCTTTAGAATATTGAGCCTTATACGTCCCCAAAAAAAATGTTGGATCATACAGCCAGGAGTTAAATTTGTGTAAAAATCAATATTAACAAAAATAAATAAATAAATATTTATATAGGCTGTCAGGATTTATATTCGTGGAAGCATCGATTTAAAAAAACAAAGTAAATAAAATAAATAAATAATTTTTTTATCTATAAAAAATATTACAAAGACATAACAAGAATTCATAGGAAAGATTATAAATATCAAGGCTAAATAAATAAACGCTCATGATATATATATTTCTTTACATTAATAATACATCTCTATTATATTATTTTTTCAAAATATTCTTAAATAAATTAGTTTCTGCAATTTTAATTTATAGAAGACTTATTTTATTTTTATTTCTATTTTACTATCATAAAAGTGATTCGAAGAAGTTTCCCGAAAATAAGTTATAAATAATGACACGAGTCGGTAGTTAAGCATGAAACAGCCCTGCTATACAATCGTCAAACGAGTTTGGACTCCGCTACAGCAACATATAATGATTTTAAGTCGAATGACATTTCATCCCTGTTCAACACCAACAAGGTTTTGTTTGGTATGCCATTTTAAGATGGAATGGAAGGATTAGATAGATAAAATCTACTTCTTGTTTTCTTTGGTAACAAAATAGTTAAAGCAAGAACAAGATTAAGGGACACCAACCAAAGCCTAAAGGTTGAGAAACATATGCCAACTCAACTTGCAACTATTTCATGTTAATTTTGCTTATAATTTTAATATGTTAATTTTTCCATGCATTATTATTATTATTACTTGAAACACCAATAAATGTATATAAAATAATTAGATAAGGAAGCGGCATGAATAATGATCTGAACAGCTTTGGTAGTTTCAATTGCTGTGTCTCCCCTCGTTCGCTCACACCTGTCCTAGTGACTTAATTTATGGTTTGAATATGAATTTGTAAATGTGATCTGCTGTCAACTCTACACAAGTCAAGTTAGCATATGTAATTTATTGAATAAAGTTGAAACATGATATCGAATTGTTTATTTGCCCAACGGATAACGGGTAAGATGAAGCCTTGTTCTGAAACCAAACCATTTTCATAGATAAGGCATGCTTCACGCTATCAAAGTCAGTGAGCTTGCATTATAAATTGATTGAGCTTCATCTCCGTTTTATGTGCAACCTGTTCTGAACCATGGATTCCTCTTTGCAATTAACTATTGTAGCCATTTTGGTGTCATTGTTAGTATTTCTCCGCCACACTTTGGTGGGAAAGAAGAGGAATAAAGAGGCTCCTGTCCCAGCTGGAGCATGGCCACTTATTGGTCATCTTCACCTTTTAATGGGTGATGGCCAACTTCTCTATCGAACGCTAGGAACAATGGCTGACCAATATGGACCAACATTTAACATCTGGCTAGGTTGTCGCAGAGCATTCGTGGTTAGTAGCTGGGAAGTGGCAAAGGAATGTTTCACAACTAATGACAAGGCATTTGCCTCACGCCCCAAAACAGTTGCCACAAAGCACATGGGGTACAACTATGCAGTGTTTGGTTTCGCGCCTTATAGTCCCTTCTGGCGTGAGATGAGAAAGATTGCCACACTTGAACTTCTTTCCAACCGAAGGCTCGAAAATCTTAAACATGTGAGAGTGTCAGAGCTCAACATGGGTGTGAGGGACTTGTACAACTCGTGGCTCCAAAACAGGTCGCAGCCTGTGGTTCTGGAACTGAACCGGTGGTTGGAGGATTTGACTCTGAACATTGTGGTTAGAATGGTGGCGGGGAAACGCTACTTTGGTGCCTCAGCTACCTGTCATGATGACGAGGCAAGGCGGTGCCAGAAGGCTATTAGCCAGTTTTTCCATCTGATTGGTATTTTTGTTGTTTCGGATGCGCTTCCGTTTTTGCGTTGGTTCGATATGCAGGGGCATGAGAGGGCAATGAAGAAGACTGCCAAGGAGTTAGATGACATACTTGAAGGTTGGCTGAAGGAGCATCGTTTGCAAAGTGTTAAGGAAGAAGTTAAGGCAGAAGGCGAGCAGGATTTCATTGATGTCATGTTGTCGCTTCAGAAGGAAGGTCACCTATCAAATTTCCAATTTGATTCCGATACCAGCATCAAATCCACATGCCTAGTAAGTCATAAAAACTAAACTATTCACTTATTAATTTCTATAAGAACAACTAGGGTCAGCTTATAAGTTGGAGTAGATCTATCATAACGATCTTCATTATTGTTGTTATAATTTTTTATTGATAAAAAAAAAACTTTAGACGAATTCTGCGGTACCCTTTTAAATTATAAAGGCTTTTAACAAATGGGTTTTATAATTGAAAATCTTTGTAAGCTAGAAACTAAACAAAACTGTGCCTAACTCCTTGTAACAGTACTTTACTAATGTATTTTGATTACTGTACTTTTCTTTCTTTCTTTTTTTTCTTTCTTGGTGAACATGTGCAGGCTCTTATACTTGGTGGCAGTGATACCACAGCTGGCACGCTTACTTGGGCCATCTCATTACTCCTCAACAATCGTCAAGCATTGAAAAAGGCACAAGAAGAATTGGACCTTAATGTTGGCATGGATCGGCAAGTAGAGGAGTCAGATATCAGAAACCTAGCATATGTTCAAGCCATTATCAAGGAAACCTTGCGGCTATACCCTGCTGGTCCCCTCCTAGGACCAAGGGAGGCCCAAGAAGATTGTAATGTTGCTGGTTATCATGTCCCAGCTGGCACCCGTTTGGTGGTTAACTTGTGGAAGATTCATAGAGATCCAAGGGTGTGGCAAGAGCCTTCTGCTTTTAGACCTGAGAGATTTCTCACAAGGGATGCAATTGATATTAGAGGCCAAAACTTTGAACTCATTCCCTTTGGCTCTGGTAGAAGGTCATGTCCTGGCATGTCGTTTGCACTCCAAGTTCTTCACTTGACACTTGCTCGTCTACTTCATGCATTTGATTTTGGAACTCCATCAGATCAACCGGTTGACATGACTGAGAGCCCAGGTTTAACCATTCCTAAGGCAACCCCATTGGAGGTTCTTCTCACTCCCCGTCTTCCACCCAAATTATATGCCTACTAAAACATATAAATGTTCTAATAAACCTTTTATAGTTTATTCTTGAAAATGGAATTGATGAAATTCCAGTCGTTTGATGTTAGGCCACGAGGCCGTTATAATGAAAAGTCAGTGTAATTTATGATATGATTATATTTACGACTTCTGTTTTGTTGTAGATGTATCTTAGTCAAACAAAATTATCTCTCAATAAGGTGATACTACCTCATCATTATCTCTCTCGCTCTCTCCTATTCCTAGAATCCTATAGTTTTACAGTTTCCTTAAGTTTAAAATGACAGTCAGAACGTGTAATCATGCATGTTTGTATTATTAGGAGAAATAATTGAATTCCCTTATTAATAAGACATTCATATATATGGTTGAAAAGAAAATGGAACCAAAAACTGAAAGTTGACAAAGGAAGCCATCAAAGCAGCCAGAGAATAGAGAGGTGGGGGCACACTCCGCAGAGAAATCCCACCACACAAATTTACCAAGGAAACGAGTTACCTAATTTGAAGGAAAAGTTATTTGTCTGCACCGACAAATAATTTATCCCCTCCACACCAAGGAAAGAGAAAGCTCAAAAGCCACACAATTATGTGCACCTAAAGTGTTCGAAACAAAATGGAGGTCCAAATAAAAGTATTATTTATGAATCACTTTTGTAGGACTGTCCTAGTTATTCATTTATTTATTTTTGATAACAGCAGTCCTTGTTATCCTTGCAAGTTGCAACTATATGACTGGTTATGAAAAAATGCATGGTAGAGAGGAAAAGCGACACCTGCCTAAAAACGAAGAAGACAATGATACATGTCAGTGCTTGAGTGCCGTGGCCAGCTGAATTGCTTTATATCAAGAAGCCCGTCTATTATATAAATCAAGCATATACAACGTACAAGATCCTCCTATCCTACGCCATGGAACTGCATGATTCAAGAGGCTTATTTACCATTTTCTTCGGTCTCCTCTTATTTCTCTTTGTTGTTTCATCCTTATGGAGGAGGCGCAGTGTGGAAAATAGAAAAGCACCACCAGAAGCAAGTGGCGCGTGGCCTTTGATTGGCCATCTCCACCTTTTAGGTGGATCACAACCACCTCATGTGACGTTGGGAAACATGGTGGATAAATATGGCCCCATCTTCACCTTGCGTCTTGGTGTTCACAAAACCTTGGTTGTGAGCAATTGGGAAATGGCGAAACAGTGCTTCACCGTCAACGACAAAGCCTTTGCTAGTCGTCCTAAGTGTGTGGCCTTTGAAGTGTTGGGGTACAACTTTTCCATGATAGGGTTCAGCCCCTACGGTTCTTATTGGTGTCAGGTGCGTAAAATTGCCACGCTGGAGCTCCTCTCTGCTCACCGAATAGAGATGTTGAAGGACGTGATGGAGTCGGAAGTGAAGGCAGCGGTGAAAGAGAGTTACAATGTTTGGTTAAAGAACAAAAACCAAAAGGTAGAGACCGAAATGCAGAGATGGTTTGGAGACATAGTTTTGAACATCATGTTAAGAGCGGTGGTAGGAAAACGTTTTGTTGGTGGTGATGATGATGGTGAGAGCGAACGGATCCGAAACGCAGTGAGGGAGTTGTTTGATCTTAGTGGTTCATTTGCTATCTCCGATGCTCTGCCGTATTTGAGATGGTTGGATTTGGATGGACAAGAGAAGAAAATGAAAAGAACGGCGAAAGAGTTGGATGAGTTTTATCAAGTTTGGCTCGAAGAACACAAACGGAACAGAAAATGTGGTTCGAATGGACGGAAAGATCTGGACTTGATGGACGTGCTTCTTAGCGTTGTTGACGACGGTGAAGAATTTGACGGTCGTGACGCCGATACCACAATCAAAGCTACATGCCTGGTATGTATCACCATTCATCTATCTTTCTGGAAAAAAGCCTTGATTTTAGAATAATTAAACATATATTTACTTCTTTTAAAATCTTATTTTCATCCTTTCTTTTCTAATATTTTAACTTTTTAAATATATATATATATATATATATATATATATA